CGCACAGAACCGCTAAGAACCCGTACAGAACCCCAAACGATTCCGAAATGTATTGAGATCTTTTGAATTTCGGTTTCTTTAGGAAGTACAATTGCACAACCGGAATCATTTCGCATTTACCGCGATTCCGAAATGCATATGAACAGGCAATACGTATTGTGAAGCATTTCCCCGTCATGACCCATGGTTCCCCGCACTATTTCCCATGGGTCTGTGTGTGAACGGCAAATACGTGTCCAGGATGCGCTTTCTTGGAAGCGTGATAAAAGCGCGATGACGGTAATTGTGTGTGATAGCCATTTACGAATTGTGGGGGCTCTTTCGGTTCATTTCGGTATAGTACTGGATTTATTCTTATTTCAGTTTCTTATCCCTTTGTGGCCCGCGTGTGATAAGGTCCTTAGGCTCATCCATTCCATAGTATTCAAGTACTAGTCAAAGAAGAAAGGCTGCATTTTATTACCCTATCTGACCTGTACACTGAACATGCATGTAAAGCAGGATTAGACAGGGAGTAAGCAGGCGTGAAAACTAAAGGAAGGAACAGCAGCAGTTTACAATATGTAGATGACACCATATTCCTAGCAGAAAATAGCAAAGGCTTGAAATGATTGCAGAAAAAGGTCAAGGAAGAAAGCTCAAAGGCAGGTTTATGGCTGAATATTAAGAACACAAAAATAATGACCACAGATGATGTGCATCATTTTAAAGTAGACAATGAGGACATTGAAATAGCTCTCCATAACTTGGCTCAGGTTTTCCATACATTGGCTCAGTCATTAATCAGAATGGAGACTACAGTCAAGAAATCAAACAAAGACTAGGATTTAGAAGGGCAGCTATGAAGGAACTAGGCAAGATCCTCTCTTGTAAAGATGTATCGTTGAATCCTAAAGTTAGGATTGTCTATGCCATCAGAGTTCCAATTTCTATGTATGGTTATAAAAGCTGGACAGTGAAAGAAAGTTGGCAGGAAGAAAATAAACTCATTTGAAATGTGGTGCTGGAAAGGACAAGAACAAAAACTGGGATTGTCTGGTCTTTTTATTAAGTCTGGATATACCCTAATTGTGTTTGTTCTGTTTAATTGTCCTCTTTGTTGGAGAAAGGCAGAAATAAAACAAACAAACATATATGCCATTACAATTTTAAATAATTAAAAAAAACCCTCCAACAATCCCCAACCAGCACGAGATAGTTTAAGATTTTGAATATGATTAGCAGAACTTTCCATTGGGTTTGGAAATGAATTGTGATCCAGAAGCATACTGCTCTAATCTTTTTGGAACCAGCTTCTCCAAATTACAGCTTTCCACCACTATCTGACTGCCTGTGATCTTAACGTATTTTGATTTGTTGTGTTTCTGAAAATAACTGTTCCTTTGCATGTGCAAGTCCTGCTTTTGTAGCTGATTATGAAGCAGTCCATGAGCACCAGTGTGAAACATATTGACTCAAAATAAATGGTTATCTCTATTTTTTACTTCTTATTTCTTTATAGTGTGTTGGAATCCTCCATCATTTTAAAGAACCCCTTTGTTTGACAGCCAAGTGCATTAGCGTATACTTTTATGAGGACTGTGGTATTTTTTCCTTCTTTCTT